AATTCCTTCTTTGAGCATGGTAGCAGAAGAGAGAGACACAGTGGAGGTGAGGGTCACTTGAGAACCAATCACATGTTCCAGAGTACAGCTTTAAAGCTTCAGATATCTGGGTCAGATTTACTTCCCCCAAATGTCACTATGACATGGCCAATTAATCCCCAGCTCCTGCTGTCAGTCCAATCAATCTCTTATCTCCTTCTCTGTCTAATTGAGCCCTGGCTGCTCTCTGTCCAGTTGATCAGTGGCTTCCTTGATCTCTCTCTCTCTCTCTCTCACTCTACATGCTGACACCACCCCCACCCCCCACCCCCCCCACCCCCGTATATCAGAGTGTTACAGTGAGGAGTGTGGGGCACATCAGAGTGTTACAGTGAGGGGTGTGAGGTATATCAGAGTGTGACAGAGAGGGGTGTGGGGTATATCAGAGTGTGACAGAGAGGGGTGTGGGGTATATCAGAGTGTACCAGTGAGGGGTGTGGGCATATATCAGAGTGTTATGGGTTGTTATGGGCAGGGTATATCAGAGTGTTATGGGTTGTTATGGGCAGGGTATATCAGAGTGTTATGGGTTGTTATGTGGGGGTATGTCAGTGTGTTATGGGTTGTTATGGGCAGGGTATATCAGAGTGTTATGGGTAGTTATGGGGGGGTATATCAGAGTGTTATGGGTTGTTATGGGGGAGTATATCAGAGTGTTGTGGGTTGTTATCGGTGGGGTATATCAGAGTGTTATGGGCTGTTATGGGGAGGGTGTAGTTTCAAAGAATGGTGAACCACGGAATGAGCAAACAGAGGAGCTTTCGCCATGCAGGGAGTGTCCCTAGTTCTGGTCCAGAAGGTCTGGCTTCAAATCCTACCTCCTCCAGAGGTTTAATAACATCTCTGAACACGTTGACTAAATAATCTGCAAGGAAAGAGGCCACAGGTTTAAGCTTTTTGGCAGGGGATGCCAGGGAAATGTGAGGAAGTACATTGTTATGTAGCAGTGGTAATGCCCCAGATCTTGGGGGGGGCACACGGTGGCTCAGTGGTTAGCACTGCTGCCTCACAGTGCTAGGAACCCAGGTTCAATTCCACTCGGGAAACTGTCTGTGTGGAGTTTGCACATTCTCCCCGTGTCTGCGTGGGTTTCCTCCCGGTGCTCTGGTTTCCTCCCACAGTCCAAAGATGTGCAGGCTGGGTGAATTGACCATGCTATATTACCCATAGTGTTCAGGGATGTGTAGGTGAGGTGGGTTGTAAGGGAATGGGCCTGGGTGGGATGCTGTGAGGGTCAGTGTGGACCTGTTGGGCCGAAGGACCTGTTTCCACACTGTAGGGATTCTATGATTCTATGATCTTGCTGACAGTAAGGATGGTGAAAGTGGAAACAATCTGTCAATTCAAAAGAAAATTGAATGCATACTTCCTCCATCTATCAATGATTTCATGGGTGGAATTATGTAGGGGCCTGAACAATGTGGGCTATAGTGAGAAATGTAACAGAAAGGAGGAGTCCTGTTAGGCTTCTCTTGATGTCAGGAGCAACTTGCTGCATTTTTTAACTACATTCAGGCATCAAGGCGTGTCTCTTGGTAGGCATTCACACATTGCCTATTAACAGCAATTATTGCTTGTTAACAACCTCACCTCATTATTATGCAGCTTCCTGTCCTGCCACATGCTGCAAGCAAATAAAATGCCAAGAGTGCTCAACATGGAAGTCAGAACAGATCCCTGGTGACTTCAGCTCACTCCTGGCTGTGAAGAGCCTCCATGGTCCTTACCAAGCACCATGGTCCGTGGGCACTGTTCATCCATGGACATAGGCGTCTGATCATTTCCAGTCTGTCAGTACCGTTATTCAGTCCATGCTTAGCAAGTACAGACCTGCATTGCAGGGTACACTGGCTACTAGCATTGAAAAGCTGCAGTGAGGACAGTCCATGTGCAGGGACAGGGGCCTACCTCATGGATCGGACCAGGCTGAATCTCAGCGCTGCTTGCTGGCTCTCTTAATGCTCACTCACTTGGTGACCACCTGGATCCTCACAACGTCTGTTCCTTGCCTTTTCTTTTAAATTAACGTAGTCACATAAGCAGGCAGCATGTCTTGCTGCTCAGTGATCTTCACTCAAGGGCGGGGAGGTGTACCTTTTGCTGTCTGGCGCTGTGTTATGTCAGTCTCACACCAACACCATGTGTCAGCAGCTTGTACGGCAAACACGCAGCACGTGAAGCAAGTAGCCATGTCTGAAATAGTCCCCACCGGGTGCCAGGGAGAAAGAAAAGCTGGTAAGGGGACCATTAGAGGGTGAAAATGGGTTGGCAGTGATGAAAGCAGCCCATGTGATGATAAAGCCTTGGGTGTGGGGGTTGGTAAAGGAAATGGAAGAAGGTGCTCATGCCCTAAAATTATTGAGTCTCCTGGCCAGAACTTCTTGAACTTCTAGGGACTGGAGAGGGGAGGGCAGGAAGGACCTAGCCATCTCTGGACTCTCTTGAGGGGAAATCCCTGAGGGGGCCATTTAATCTTTCTCTGGCAGGGGGCCTCCTGGCACTACCCTATCTTCTTGTGATCAAGGGGCACCTTGACTGAGTGCCAGGTTCCCCATCTCCCTGTTGTAATGCCCTTGGTCATGAGGACCAGTGGCTGGGGCGATGGAGTGCAGGTCTGTGCACAAATCAAGCACACCCTGAGAGTGCTGGACCTGGCTGTTAAATGTAGCTGTGACCCTGTTCATAGAGACAGCCAGACAATCACATGCTTTAAGCAGCTGAGTCCCTGCAGTTGTGCTGCTGCAGCTTCTGGGCTGTGAGGGGCACTGCCTCCGACATACCTGCCCCTGTACCTCATTCTGTGTGTGGAGCTGATGTGAGCCTCTTTAGAGGACAAGAACATTGTAGACATAGGGCTAAGCAAATGCCTCTCTGCAGTAATGCTCCGAGTGTCAGGAAAGTTGACTTTTCGGGTCAGGACCCTTCTTCAGAAATGGGGAGGGGGAAGGGAGATCTGAAATAAGCAGAGAGAGGAGGGGTGGGGCTGGGAAAGGTAGGTGGGATGGTGATAGGTGAGTGCAGGTAGGCAATGGTGGGGATTGGTCATGAGGTGGGAGGAGTGGATAGGTGGGAGAGAAGATGGACAGGTTGTGTCAGGTCAAGGAGGCAGGGATGAGAGGGAGGGTTGGTCATGGAATGAGGCCGGGGGTGGGGAGATTTTGAAACTGGTAAAATCTACATTTAGGCCTTTGCCCAATGGTGTGTTCACCAGCTTGTGCTTCCAAATGTTCTAAAGTTAATGTTCCCATTAAGGTGTTAATATCTGAGCTGGTGAGAAGGGGGCAGGGGGCAGCGTTACCGATGTTTTCTATGAGACCTCTGAGCTGTCTTCCAAAGGGTAGTGGAAGTGCATTCTGACAGAGCAGCCCACTCCACCATAGAGATCCTGCCCACTGTGTTGGCATCTGCAGACACAAGGGTGAGAAGGCAACATGGTCAATGAATGGCACTGACAGCAAGGTTAGCAATAGCATGAAGGTTGTTGGGGCATCAGACAGAATTCTCTCCCCGTAGTGGATGGGGAGCTTGATGTCAACAGCCCTTTCACCCATCTTGGCTCTGTCCTCATTGTTATGAGCTGTTCTCCCCTGTAAGGGCAGAGATGGAGGGATTGACTGAGGTGAAAATAGATAGCACAGATTGTAGTGCTGGCGTAGCTGGTGGTGAGTAGGATATCCTGGATGAGTGAGTGGGCAGCATTTAGGCCACACAGGATTAATGGTCTGGTATGTTGGAGCTGAACGTGAGTGAGTGATGAAAGATGTTGCAGGTAATAATAAGAGAGATAGAACATAGAACATTACAGCGCAGTACAGGCCCTTCGGCCCTCGATGTTGCGCCGACCTGTGAAACCAATCTGAAGCCCATCTAACCTAAACTATTCCATTATCATCCATATGTTTATCCAATGACCATTTAAATGCCCTTAAAGTTGGCGAGTCTACTATTTTTGCAGGCAGGGCATTCCACGCCCTTACTACTCTCTGAGTAAAGAACCTACCTCTGACATCTGTCCTATATCTATCACCCCTCAATTTAAAGCTGTGTCCCCTCGTGCTAGCCATCACCATCCGAGGAAAAAGGCTCCCACTGTCCACCCTATCTAATCCTCTGATCATCTTGATGGAGCATGAGCCTTGATGAGAGAGATGTGCAGTATCAGGGATACGATGAGTGTGAGGAAGCTGAGAGAAGAATGTGTGACACTTACCCTGGTGGATCGAGAAAGCCACTGTCCTTGCAGCTCTGCTAAACATTCCTCCAGACTGTAGTTACATCACTGACCCAGGTGGTGAGGGTCTGGTGTGTGGCAATCTGTGTCAGTCATCCAGAAAGAGGACACTCCTTTTCTGGAGCACCCGTCCACCAGGAACGTCAGTCCCTGCCGGAGAATCTTGCATCATCTTCCCCTTCCCAGGGGAAGATTGTCACCTGCAAGGGCAGCTTCGGTGTGCCAGTGCACAGTGACCCTTTAAAGATGGCACAAGCACCAGGGGCATGCTGGTCTTTTGGCAGATATCGAGTAAGTGATGGGTTCTACCAGTTACAGGGGTTGGTAGAATGAGGCTAGAATCAGACGGGAGGGGTGAATAGACATGGGGTAGGTAGTTACCGAGGTGAGTTTGATAACATGCAATGAGGTATCTCTCGAACCCTCTGTGAGACTTGACGAACTTAATACTTTGTCAAAAAAAACTACGATTCAGCACTATATCTCTGTACCTTCTGCTCTCTTTCTCTCTCTGTTCCATCAATAATTAATCATTTTGTCCTCATTCCTGATTTTCTCTGTGCCTTGTTTATCCCCAATTCCCTCTGTATACTTAGCTCCCAGTATGCATTCCTGTGTTATATTGATTTCCAGCTTCTTGTCCCATGGATCCTTGGCTCGGTGCAGGTTTCTGAGTTATGTTACATTTTGAACGTTGTGGAGTTTCTGAAGTTGGTCTCCCTTTCTTCAGCCACGTGACCCAGATGACTTCATGGATCCATCCAGTGACCAGCGCCCTGAGCCTGCCCTGTGTGGAAAGGAGCAGTAACAATGAGCTTCAAGAGCTTCCAGAATTCAGGAGCTGATGGAGACAGGAAGCCTCTGAAAATGGAGATGACGAGATTGAGAATCAACGGTTTCATGTAAAGCCAACCCCCACAAATCACACCCACCAGCAAGATCATGCTGTAAAGATCCTCAAAAAACATACACTGAGAAAATACTCTGTCAATGTTTTCAGTCTTTTATAAACAACATTTTTACTGCCGCAGGTTAGAAATGCTGAACTTGATGCTGGGCCTGAACTCTGATTCAGGGCAGTAATGGGCTGGATGAAATGAGTTTGTATAGCCTCAGTCCAATTGACAAAGTCCATACTATAACACTAAATATTGCCCATTATTTTGCATTACATTTTTTAGTTTTCAATGACTAAAACAAGATTGATGGAATCTGGATAATTTGACATTGCTGCAGAAGGGTTCTTTCGGAAGTTAAAGATAAGGCATAAAACTGAAATAGTCACCGAACCCTGTGCTATCCCTGTCGTGGAAGTGGTTGATGGAGACAGTATTGAGGAAATTTTACTTTTAGTTCAAAAGATTAGAGGGAGCTTTACTTTAAATTTATTTTTAGTTTGAAAGAGTAAAGGGAGTTTTATTCTGTATCTAACCCTGTGCTGTATCTTTCTTGTGAGTGTTGATAGGGACCGTGTACAGGGAACTTTATTCCGTTTCTAACTGGTGGTGTATCTGCCTTGGGAGGGTACACTCTTAAAGGGAGCACTCCTATGTATCTAATTCATACCATACCTGCCTAGGGGTGTTTGTTACAGGTTATGGGAAAAAATGTTCCTTTCCTTATCTATACTTCAATTTTTCTTTTTCTCAAACCCTATCCAGCCCCTAATAAAATGAATAATTCTGTTTGTAGAGTGTGAAGTATTTTTTGGAGGAAGATGACTATACATCACACCCTGTGTACAATCTATTTTCAATGATCCAGCCTGAAATGATCACCCCAGCACAGTTCTAAGGGGCTGCTGAACTTTCAAAACCCCAGCTATTCCCAGAGTCAATACAAAAGATAAAGATTTTTAAAAGTACTCAATTTAGAGTAAAAGTGGCATAGGCCACTTTACAAAAATTACAAGTTCTTCCATATAAATGGACTGTAGCCAAATGTAGACAGTTATGAACTGTTGCCATACGATTATTATTAAAACTGTAATCTCCTTACAAACTACTCCTCACGCACACACACTACCCCCCCTCTCTCTCTCTCAAACACACACAGGAAAAGAATGGGTTTTGTGGACAGAAGGAAAACTATGAAAGGGGTTCAGTGATCTCTGTTTACAGGTTCTGCACACATGGTTCTGAAACTGATCAGATCATTGTTTCTCAGTCTTCTGCTTTCCAGATGCTTCCTGGTTTGCAAGAGGCACAGGGTGGCTGATTTACTGACAAAACTTCTGGGATTTATTGACTAAAAGTTATAGCTTGCAGCAACGCTGAGTGACAGTTAAACAGGTTGTCCTCAAGCTTAAAGTGGCTTTTATACCAGAGAACAGAGAGAGATCCTGAAGTGGTGATGATTTCAATAGCTTCTTTGTATCTTGTTCACAATCCCCAGTTGTTCAGCTACCTGAGAACCAACTGCATAATAATTGGCAGGCAGAAAACTGTTGTCATTGGAAACTGGTCATTAGTCCACAAACTAATTCATTACTTTTTACCAAACATAGCTCCATTTCTACCCAACACTTCAGCTCCAGTAAATAAACAACCACTGCTATAACCTGTAGCTGTGCAAACAGTGTTCACAGTGAGCATCAACTTACTTTCAAACAGTGCAGCAATCCTTGCAAGCCCTGTTTTTAGGACAGGTCTTTTTCATTTCAGTCGACAGTTTTATAAAAACACAGAAGTAAAAAGACAAGGTCTTACACAATCAACATTACTAAATAGATAATCTGGACACAATTGTTTCGTTTGTGGGAGCTTGGTTTGCAGAAATTGTCTGCCATATTTCCTACAACAGTGATGGCACTTCTAAAAGTACTTCGCTGACTGTAAAATACACTGCAAAGTCTCAAAAGACCATGAAAAGCACTATATAAAATGAAGTTCTTTTTTGAGCCAGCTAACACTGCTGTGTAGTCTAGACTTGATGTTTGAATGTATTGTGAAGATAATAGCTGAGTGTCTACTGTTGACTCTATGCACAGTGTGTTTCTGCATTTTTTTCCAAACAAGCTGATCTTCATATAAGTCTGTTTATCCAATTAGGGCATCTGACACTCAGCTAAGGCCAGCTTCCCTTCAGATAGAGAATTACTCTAAATTTTCTGGTTTATACCAAAGGAAACCATTCTGATGAAAAGAGGGAGCTGCATTTCACTGGGTTTTGACTTGCTATTTGACCAAATTGGCCGTTGCAGCCTCTCCCAATATAAACATCTCCACTTTACAGCAGGAGTTGCAGTGCCAGCATCAGGGCAGGAATCCCTGTCTGATTTTCCCATCCTTCCTAAAGGTAAAGGTAAAGTCACTATAGTCCCACCATACCATAGGTCAGCTCTCTCTTTAGAGATAGACAACTGGTGGTGTTTTAACCTGAGGGTGATCACACCCTGGACAAGTGGAGAGGTTCAGAAGGAGGGTCCTTAATACAGGGCACTCTGACTGAAACAAATTATAGCTTTGCTCCTCAAGACTGCCCCACAAAGAAATGAGAACAAACCTGGTCATTGAAAGTGTGATTCCTGCTACTCTCAATATTAAATTCAATCTGTGAAAATAACAGGATTTCAGCATTGCCAGTATGCGTCAGGTAGTGAGATGCAGAGTCTGATCAAAGCGTTATTGAAGGTACTACTTCAGTGCTCTTACAACTAGCATTAGCACAGGCTGCCGGTCAGATAGGGTCACAGCTCAATGTACAAAGGAAGCAGTGCACACAAGGCAACCTTGTGAGGAAATGAGCAGCATTCCAAGCAGCTCCGAACATGACCCGACATTGTTACCCGTTCCCACCACACCCTGCCTTCCCCTTGTCAAAACCCAGAACCTTTCTGTGGGCTCAGCTCCAAAGGCCCACCCGTTCAAAACTGCTGCAAGGACAGCTCCGAGCCCAGCTGTAACAAGCAGTAGAGACATGTACAGTAACAGCACAGCTTTCCTGCTGAACTGCTTTTATTCTCTGCTACCAGAATTCAAGATTGGCATAAAAGGTTTCAGAGATAGTAGGAACTGCAGATGCTGGAGAATCTGAGATAACAAGGTGTAGAGCTGGATGAACACAGCAGGCCAAGCAGCATCAGAGGAGCAGAAAGGCTGACGTTCCAGGCCTAGACCCTTCTTCAGAAATGGGGGAGGGGAAGGGGGTTCTGAAATAAATAGGGAGAGAGGGGGAGGCGAATAGAAGATGGATAGAGGAGAAGATGGGTGGAGAGGAGACAGACAGGTCAAAGAGGCGGGGATGGAGCCAGTAAAGGTGAGTGTAGGTGGGGAGGTAGGGAGGAGATAGGTCAGTCCAGGGAGGACAGACAGGTCAAGGGGGCGGGATGAGGTTAGTAGGTAGGAGATGGGGGTGCGGCTTGAGGTGGGAGGAGGGGATAGGTGGGAGGAAGGACAGGTTAGGGAGGCGGGGACGAGCTGGCCTGGTTTTGGGATGCGGTAGGGGGAGGGGAGATTTTGAAACTTGTGAAATCCACATTGATACCATTGGGCTGCAGGGTTCCCAAGCGGAATATGAGATGCTGTTCCTGCAATCTTCGGGTGGCATCGTTGTGACACTGCAGGAGGCCCAGGATGGACATGTCGTCTGAGGAATGGGAGGGGGAGTTGAAATGGTTCATGACCAGGAGGTGCAGAGCATAGGTGTTCCGCAAAGTGGTCCCCAAGCCTCCGCTTGGTTTCCCTGATGTAGAGGAGACCACAACGGGAACAGCGGATGCAGTATACCACATTAGCAGATGTGCA